GGCTCCTGCACCCACTCACCTGCACTCCCCTCCCGTGAGGGGTGAAATGCAGCACAACTGAGTGGAGTCTGCCCTTGCCGGCACTGAAGCAGTCAGCTAGTTCTAGCACCCATACACTCCAGTTCCCACCTACAAAGGGGTCAGGAAAATATCCTGCTTCATTATTATTATTATTGTTATTTTAAGATTGGGTCTCGGCCGGGCGCGGTGGCTCAAGCCTGTAATCCCAGCACTTTGGGAGGCCGAGGCGGGTGGATCACGAGGTCGAGAGATCGAGACCATCCTGGTCAACATGGTGAAACCCCGTCTCTACTAAAAATACAAAAAAATTAGCTGGGCATGGTGGTGCGTGCCTGTAATCCCAGCTACTCAGGAGGCTGAGGTAGGAGAATTGCCTGAACCCAGGAGGCGGAGGTTGTGGTGAGCCGAGATCGCGCCATTGCACTCCAGCCTGGGTAACAAGAGCGAAACTCCGTCTCAAAAAAAAAAAAAAAGATTGGGTCTCACTCTGTCACCCAGGCTGAAGTGCATTGGCATGATTATGGCTTATTGCAGCCTTAAACTCCTGGACTCAAGCAATCCTCCCACCTCAGCCTCCCAAGTAGCTGGAACTAATAGCACACCATGCCCAGATAATTTTTTCTTTTCATGGAGATAGGGTCTTGCTTTGCTGCCCAGGGTGGTTGTGAACGCCTGGCTTCAAGTGATCCTTCCACCTCGATCTCCCAAAGTTCCAGGATTACAGGTGTGAGTCACTATGCCTGGCTGCTGACTTCAAAATATACTACAAAGTGGCTGGGGAAAGTGGCTCATATCTGTAATTTCAACACTTTGGGAGACCAAGGTGAGTGGATCACATGAGGTCAGGAGCTTGAGACCAGCCTGGCCAATGTCGTAAAACCCCGCTTCTACTAAAAATACAAAATTAGCCAGGTGTGGTGGCGCATGCCTGTAATCCCAGCTACTTGGGAGGCTGAGATAGGAGAACCTGGGAGTCAGAGGCTCCAGTGAGCTAAGATCGCACCACTGAACTGCGACTACACATCTCAAAAAAACAAAACCCAAAATGTACTACAAAACTATAGTAATCAAAAGAGAAGGGTACTGGTATAAGTACAGACATATAGACCAATGGAACAGAATAGAGAACCCAGAAATAAATCCAAATATTTACAGCCATATGATTTTTTCTTTTTCTTTTTTTTTTGAGATGCAGTCTGGTTCTGTCGCCAAACTGGAGTGCAGTGGTGCAATCTTGGCTCACTGCAACTTCTGCCTCCTGGGTTCAAGTGATTCTCCTGCCTCAGCCTCCCAAGTAGCTGGGACTACAGGCATGCACCACCATTCCCAGATAATTTTTATATTTTTAGTAGAGACAGGGTTTCCCCATGTTGGCCAGCTTGGTCTCGATCTCTTGATCTCGTGATCCGCCCACCTCTGCCTCCCAAAGTGCTGGGATTACAGGCATGAGCCACCATGCCCGGCCACGGCCACATGATTTTCAACAAAGGTGCCAAGAACATACAGTAGGAAAAGGACACCCTTTTCAATGGGAAAATATTCATTTTGGATATTCATATGCAGAATTAATCCAGACGTCTGTCTCTCGCTATATAAAAAAATTAACTCAATGAATTAAGCACTTAGATATAAAACCCAAAACTGTAAAACTACTTCAAGAAAATATGGCATAATGCTTCAAGATACTGGTTTAGGAAAAGATTTTGTGTGTAAAATTCCAAAAGTACAGCAAAGGGCCAGGCATGGTGGCTCATGCCTGTAACCCCAGCACTTCAGCAGGTGGATCACTTGATGTGAGGAGTTTGAGGCCAGCCTGGCCAACATGGCAAGACTCTCTCTCTACTAAAAATACAAAAATTAGCTGGGCATGATGGCATGCACCTGTGATCCCAGCTACTCAGGAGGCTGAGGTGGGAGAATCACTTGAACCCAGGAGGCAGAGGTTGTAACCAGCCAAGATTGCACCACTGCACTCCAGCCCAGGTAACAGAGCAAGAATTGGCTCTGTCTCAAAAAAAAAAAAAGAAAGAAAAGCACAGTAAACAAAAACAAAAATAGATAAATGGGACTATATCAAATTAAAGAACTTCCGTACAGAAAAAGAAACAATCAACAAAGTGAAGAAACAACTTGTAGAATGGGAGAAAATATTTCCAAATTCATTGAAAAAGGAGCTGATATTGAGAATCTACAAAAAACTCAAACAACTCAACAGCAAAATAAACCAAACAATCCGATTGAAAAAGTGGCAAATGATCTGAACAGACATTTCTTAAAAGATATACACATGGCCAAAAAGTATATGAAAAAATTGTCAACATCACTAAGTATCAGGAAAATGCAAATTGAAACCACAATGAGATACCATCTTACCTCAGTCAGAATGGCTATCATCAAAAAGGCAAAAAGTATCAAATGCTGGTGATAATGTAGACAAAGGGGCACTCATACACTCTTGGTGGAAATGTAAATAGTACAGCCACTAGGAAAAACTGTATAGAAGTTCCTCAAAAACAAAACTAAAAGTTGTACTATGATACGATCCAGCAATCCCATCACTGGATATTATCCAAAGAAACTGACATCAATATGTTGAAGATAAGTTTAAAGATTAAGCAGGTGCAGTGATGTGCACCTGTAGTCCTAGCTGAGGCAGGAGGATCACTTGAACTCAGGAGGTCAAGCCATGATCACACCACTGCATCCAGCCTAGGTGACAGAGCAAGAACTTGTCTCAGAACTATATAGTATATATTTGTTTTATCTATTATCTATTTATATTACATGTTATCTATTCTATATTACATGTGTTATACATTATAATATACTGTATATCATATATAAATTATATAATTATAATACATTGTATATCATATATAAATTATGATATACAACAATTTACATATATACACATAAATCATAATTTATAATATATATTATATAAGTTAAATATATTTATCTGCATTTATTATATATTTATATATACAAAATATATACTATACATTATAATATATAACATATATAACATATAATATGTATATTACATTATATAACTATAATTATATGTAATATATAATGAACAATATGTATTTTATATATATATATAAAACATACCTGCACCCCCATGTTTATTGAAGCTCTATTTACAATAACCAAGAGATGGAATCAACCCAAATGTCCATCAGCAGATGAATGGGTAAAGAAAATGTAGTACATATGGACTGTGGAGTAGCATTTAGCCATGAAAAGAAGGCAATCCTGTCATTTGTCACAACATGGTGGAGCCGGGAGGACATTATGTTCACTGAAATAAGTCAGGTACAGAAATATAAATAGCACATGTTCTCACTCATATCTGAGAGCTAAAAAAATCTGAGCTCATTAAAGTAGAGAGTAGAATTGGGATAATTAGAGGCTGGGAAAGGTAGCGGAGGGGAGGGCAGGGATAGGAAGCCAATAAATACAAAGTTACAGTTAGGTGGGAGGAGGAAACTCTAGCGCTAATTATCACTGTAGGGTGGATATGATTAACAATAATTTAGTGTAAAAAGCTGGTAGTTGGATCTTGGGAGCAGTGGGCGGTCCGTCTCGAGGTGAGACACCGCCCATGATAAAGAAAAATAAATAAATAAATAAATAAACAAGAACAATCATTTAGTGTATATTTTCAAAAACTAGAAGAGAGGATTCTGAATGTTGACAACGCAAAGAAAGGATATATGTCCAAGGTGATGAATATGCTAATCACCCTGATTTGATCATTACACATTGCATACACACTGAAATTTCACTCTAATTCCACAAATATGTACAAGTGTTACGTGTCAACTAAAAAGAAAAGAGAAAAAAATGTAAAATAGCAACCATGAATTGGATGATGATAGCATATGAACAAGTGAAGTGACTATCAAGGGCATCATAAACAGCAGGAACCGGGAATACTCTACTACAAGAGACCTACAGTACCGTGTAGTATACAGGCAGACCTTGGAGACAGTAGGGATTTGGTTCCAGACAACCACAATAAAACTATTGTGATATTAATCACACAAATTCTTTGGTTTTCCAGTGCATACAAAAGTTATATTTAGACTGTACTATATTAAGTGGGCAATAGCATCCATTATGTCTTAAAAACAAGGTACATTTCTTAATTTTAAAATATGATCTGGGCCAGGCATGGTGGCTCACGCCTGTAATCTGAGCACTTTGAAAGGCCAAGGCAGGTGGATCACCTTAGATCAGGAGTTCAAGACCAGCCTGACCAACATGGAGAAACCCTGTCTCTACTAAAAATACTACAACAACAACAAAAAAAAATTAGCTGGCCGTGGTGGCATGTGCCTGTAATCCCAGCTGAGGCAAGAGAATCCCCTGAACCCAGTAGGCAGAGATTGCAGCGAGCCGAGATTGCACCACTGCACTCCAGCCTGGGAGGCAGATTGAGACTGTGTCCAAAAAAAAAAAAAAAAAAACCAGGGTACAGGAAGGGGAGAGGAGGGGAAGAGAGTGGAGGGGAGGAGGGTAAGGGAGGGGGGAAAAGAGAAGAGAGAGAAGAGGAAAGGAAAGGAAAAAAGAAAAGAGAGCCTGGCGCAGTGGCTGACGCCTGTAATCCCAGCACTTTGGGAGGCCGAGGCGGGTGGATCACAAGGTCGAGAGATCGAGACCATCCTGGTCAACATGGTGAAACCCCGTCTCTACTAAAAATACAAAAAATTAGCTGGGCATGGTGGCGTGTGCCTGTAATCCCAGCTACTCAGGAGGCTGAGGCAGGAGAATTGACTGAACCCAGGAGGCGGAGGTTGCAGTGAGCCGAGATCGCGCCATTGCACTCCAGCCTGGGTAACAAGAGCGAAACTCCGTCTCAAAAAAAAAGAAAAAAGAAAAGAGAAAACCCTGGGACTTGGACCCAGGGAGGCAGGGCTTGCAGGGAAGGCGTGGAGAGTAGGGGGAACTACACTTCCCGTGAGGGTCCGCGGCGGCTTCCCAAGAGGCCCTGCGCGCTTTCCGCGCCAGCTTCGGCCTCAGCCCGCGAGCACCAACGTTGCCTTGGAGCGAGGATGGAGAGCAGCGACGAGGCAGCAATCGAGAAGCACCGCGTCCACTTGCGCCCTGCCACGCTGCGCGACGCCGCCCCCGCCACACTGCACCTGCTGCCCTGCGAGGTCGCGATGGACGGGCCCGCCCCAGTGGGGCGCTTCTTCACGCCCGCCATCTGCCAGGGCCCTGAGGGTGAGCGCTGCAGCCGGACTACGGCTCCCGGCAGCCCCCGCGCTCTTCCTCGTCTGGGTTTTTGGGGGTCGAGGTCCACCCGCAGGCGGCGCGAGGGCAGCCCTGGGCTCGCCCCGCAGGGCCCAGCATGGGTCCCTGCCTGAGGCCCTGCGCCTTCTGCTCCAGGTCTCGAAGTCTCGTTTCGGGGCCGCAGTCTGCGGGGCGAGGAGGTGGCGCTGCCGCCCGGCGTCGTGGGATACGTGATGGTGACGGAAGAGGAGGGGTTGATGGGGAAGCCGGACCCCTCGCGAGATTCCGGGACTTATGACCAAGAAGAGGAGCCGCTGGAGCGGGACTTCGTGAGCAAAGGGATAGGGTAGGAAGTGGGTGCGGGCGGGAGCTGCATTCCCGATGCTGAGCCGGCCCCTTCCCCAGGACCGCTTTATCGGAGCCACTGCCAACTTCAGCCGCTTCACCCTGTGGGGCCTGGAGACTATCCCTGGCCCGGATGCCAAAGTGCGTGGGGCCTTAACTTGGCCCAGCCTCGCAGCAGCGGTGAGTACACAAGGAGCCCCCTTTCTGGATCTTGCCCTGGATGGAGTTTTGGAACACGGGCTGGGGAGCACAGTAGGGCAGATGGAGCCTGGAGGATTCTACTGGGTAGTGCGTGGGAAGCGCGGCTCCCCGCATGTCCTGAAGGGGTTATTCTGAACAGCTGGGTGGTTCCCCGGGTGTGGGGGGTCAGCCTGCCGCCCTGTCTTACAAGCCCAACAGCAGAGGCGACTCCTGTTGCAGATTCACGCACAGGTGCCCGAGGACTGAGAACCAGAGCTTGAAATTAAAAGCCGCGATCCCTTCCTTCACAGCAGTAAACCAGTTCTTCACTTTGGAGCCACTGATTCCATCACCCCAATAAAGGAGCTCTTCACAGCACCTGAGTCTGCGCGCCTTACAGGCCCTAAGCCAGCACGAGCCCCTTTCCCACAAGAACCCTGCAGGGCTCTGGCATAAAGAAACAATTTATTGCCAGGGGCAATGGGGGTTAAGAAAGGCCAGAATCTTTTGCAGCCAGCACCCACCCTACCCCCAAACTTCTACTTTACAAAAGAAATTTTTACAATACCAGCCCTCTGTACAGAGCTCCCCCACCCCCCATCTCACTGTACACAGCTGCCTGGCTCCCTCTGGTCCCTGGTTCAGAGCAGGCCTGGGCCTGTAGCCAGCTGACCTTGGAGTTGGCCTGAGCCCTGAGCTCGCCTTGGTGCTGGGCACCAGTGGGCCCCTGCTAGGCCTGTCCCCTCCTTTTGGAGCTGTCCTCAGCCCCATCTCCCTTAGAGTGCTTTGTGGGAGCTGTAGTGGGGACAGGGCAGGGCGGGCTATCAGCCCCAGTCCTGCTGCTGTCTTGCTACTGCAGTGGGCAGTGCCTGGTCACCACTTCCCCCTCTTGCTCCAGTCCTTGGGAGTGAAGTGCAGACACTTGGAGTCGATGCGAAGGAGCCGCTTGAGCATGGCCCGCTCATGCCCGTCCACGATGTCCTCTGATAGTGTGAGGATGTACTGGCCCTGGGCAGAGGAGACAGACCAGCAAGTGGTCAGCCCACAGGGGCCTGCACTCTGCATTCCACACACCTGTCTCCCCCTGCCTTCCTCCCTACCTTGTAGTAGTTGATGAGATTGAGGTACTGCAGAGTGGAGATGACATCCTCCTTCTTGATGCTGGTGATTTCACTGATCTCACTGTGGGAGGGCAAAGGTCAGTTCCCCTGAGAACCTTCATTTGTCCCCAGGAACCCCAGGAGAGAGTGAGAAAGCCCAGGAACAGACAGGCCATGCCATGCACCCCCAGGTCGGCGGGGCCAGGCTCACTTGATGGTGATCTGTGGCCTCTCCCCGCTTTCGGACTTCAGCCCCATCAGGATCTCGAGGATGGTTTGGGACCAGTAACTTCGATAGGATAGGAGGCCAAGGTCTGAGAGGGGCTTCTCAGGGGTCCCTGTTTTCCCTTCCACTTTGGAGAGTTCATAGCCTAAAGCAATGGAGCAGGAGAGGGTAAGAGGTCACAGATGAACATAAGCAACATTTGAACAGGTCACCAAGGCAGGCTGCCTAGTTCCCATATTGGCCCTGCCACTTGGCACTTCTGTGCCCTCAGGAAGAACTAATGATCATGTATTCACTCTTCCCCAGTGTGCTGAGCACAGTGGAGGGTGTGAGGGAACTGAGAGGAACAGCTGTAGTCAAGCACAAGGGAGACCAAAAGCCAGTGAAGGCTTATGGGCAGGGGATGCAGGGAAAATGGCTCATGGGAAGAAAGTGCCTCCAATTTTCCTTTGCCATCCCAGGCTTGGTGTCATGTGAGGAAGGAAGTAGGGACTGATTCCCATCTCTGATCCAGGCCTGAGGAGGCTTGAATTCTCAGTCAAATCAGTCCTCTTACCTAGGATCTTGGAAGTGTGAGCTGCTCTAAGACCTGAGTGGCCTGACTGGGTGGTTGTGAGGATGCAAGGAGAGAAGGTGCTTCCTAAGACGGGGAGACCATTCCTGAGAGCCAGTGAAACTGACCCCGACAGTGGCTCGCTCCCTCCGACTCGTGCAGACAGCTGAGCACTGGGAAGCAGTGTCCAGTGAGATCCTGAGACCCTGCACAGCCCTGAGTGGCTTCACATCTCTTTGGCAGGGTCTTCATTCTCCCCAGTCAGGGACCTGGAATGTTTGTTACTACTAGAAGCCCTTCCTCACCCTCAGTTATAACCAGCCTCATAACGGACCTTAGCCCCTTGGTGATCCCACCCACATCCCATCTCCATTGCGGTCTGAGCTCCAAGATGGACTTAGACTGAGTTTCTTCAAGCATCCACTCGTGCTACCAGGCTGAGAAGTTCCTGAGGATGTGACCCCATCCGGGCATCCTTTAACCAATAAAATTCCTCAAATGGACCATAACCTTGATCAGGTAAAGCCTCTGTGTCTTCACCAGGCAAAACAGCTAGGACTTCTGTCACCTAGGTCAGAGCTTGGTTATTCCAAGGGTTTGGTGAGTGGTGAGGTAGACAGAATGGGGGGTGATGGAGAGTAAGAGGCTGGGAAGGAGAAGGGGGCCTCAGGGTTGGGGAGGACGCTGAAGGGCCCATGTGTGATGTAGGTCAGAGTCCCTCTGGCTTTAAGAGATTGACCTCACTGAACACAAGGAGCAATCTACGCTTACCTCTATTTGTAAACAGCATTTTGTATACCTGCCTGCCAGGCTCAGGGGAAAACTGGGGACATTAACCACTGGTCCTTGCCCAAGGACCTGTATCATGGCACATGTTACCAGATACATGAGCACCAGGAGCTCACTGACCTGCCCATGGCCCCAGACAGAAGCATGTAAGTCAGTTGAGTGGCACTTAGAACCTTGGCCAAGGAGCAAAGTGTAGGGCTGAGAACCTATCCCAGATGAGCAGGGCAGTCAGCCTGAATGGAGAGAACCCCAGTAGAGTGCCACCGTTATTCCTGGCTGGCTGCCCTAGAGACTGGGCTGCACAGCCAGGGTTGGGAATCACAGTAGCCCGGCACATCTGCCTGTGAGGTACCGATGACGGGCGCACTACCCCCTGGCCACAGCACACATACTCACTGAACTCGATCAGCAGCTTGCCGTAGCCCCGGCGCTGGTAGGGAGGCAGCGTGAGGATGCAGGCCACGTTGTAGTCTTCTGTTGACTCCTTCTCCTGGAAAAGGGAGACAGGTCAGTGTGAGGAAAGGGACCTGGCTCAGGACAGGGCACAGGGACAGCCTGGGTGGGCACTGACCTTAGAGAAGTAGCCCACAATGTGGAAGCCCTTGCAGTCGTACTCCGTCATGACGTAGAAGAGGAAAGGGTCTGTGTCATAGTACAACGTCTTATGGTCAAGGAAACATTTGGCCAAAAGACACAGGTTCTGGGAATAACTCTGCAAGAGAAAAGGCTTATCACCACTCTGGGTACCCTGCCTTGAGCCTGGCCAGTGGTTCCGGGTCGACCAGAAGCTTCACCGTTTGTGCTGTGCCCCAGGCCGACAGGTGATGAGTGTTCCTCGCTGGTGGAACTCCCTGGTGGGGCCTGATCCATTCCACCAGCCCGCAGCTGAGGCAGGGCTGCTCCTCAGTGCTGAAAAGCCTGCGCACCAGAGGTGTGATGGTGTCTGACTGCCTCCCTGCTGAGTCCGACAATTTTCCCGGCCTTGCTTGGCACACCTCGATCTAAGCCTGGCCCGGAGACTCCAACTGCCCCTTAACATTTTTGTTTTTTTGTTTGTTTGAGATGGAGTCTCACTCTGTTGCCCAGGCTGGAGGGCAGTGGCATGCTCTCAGCTCACTGCAACTTCCACGTCCTGGGTTCAAGTGATTCTCCTGCCTCGGCCTCCACTGTAGCTGGGACTACAGGCACGCACCACCATGCCTGGCTAATTTTTGTATTTTTAGTAGAGACGGGGTTTCACCATGTTGGTCAAGACGGTGTCATCTCTTGACCTCATGAACTGCTCACCTTGGCGTCCCAAAGTGCTGGACAGCTGTCAACAAATTAATGTGTCCAAAGGCAGACTCCAACCACAGCTTCTGAGAGAAGCTCTCCCTATCGGACAATCTTGGGAGTCCAGCTGCTAAAAACCCTAACATTCTACATCCATAGTCACACCTCCTGGGAACTGATCTCCAATTCTATGACAGTTAAAGAATTCTGGAATTTAACAAAATAACTGCCTTAGGGGTTACCCCAGCAAAATTATGAATCATGCTGCTCTATTTCTGCACACAACTACTGCATTTCAGACACTGTGGGTTGATTTTTTTTTTTTTTTTGAGACAGGGTCTCACTCCTATCACCCAGGCTGGAGTGCAGTGGTGCAATCATGGCTCACTGCAGCCTTGACTTCCCAGGCTCAGGTGATTCTCCCAACTCAGCCTCCTGAGTGCCTGGAACTACAGATGTGCACCATCACACTTGGCTCTTTTATTATCGATTTATTTTTGAGACAGAGTCTTGCTCTGTCGCCAGATTGGAGTGCAGTGGTGCATTCTTGGCTCGCTGCAACCTCTGACTCCCTGGTTCAAGCAATTCTCCTGCTTCAGCCTCTGGAGTAGCTGGGATTACAGGAAAATGCCACCAAGCTAATTTTGTATTTTTAGTAGAGACAAGGTTTTACCATGTTGGCCAGGATGGTCTCAATCTCCTGACCTTGTGATCCATTCGCCTTGTCCTCCCAAAGTGCTGGGATTCCAGGGTGAGCCACTGCACCCAGCCAATTTTTTTTAAAATTTTTAGCAGAGATGGGGTTTCTCCACGTTGCCCAGGCTGGTCTTAAAATTCTGGGCTCCAGTGATTGGCCCACCTCGGCCTCCCAAAGTGCTGGGGTTACAGGTGTGAGTCACTGTGCCCAGCCAGAAATTGCTTTTTAACCACCTGCTGCTGGGTACTGCCACTTGGATGCCCAGATCCACATTAATAATTACAGAATGGTAGTTAACGCAGCATCTTCATCACCTGAGCTCTGTCCCTCGTAAGAGCCTTCCCTCATCCTCCCTTCTCTGCCTCTCAGCCAGCATGATCTTTGTGTTTCACAAAGACCATCTCTGTGCATCCATGCCTACTCCTCAGAATGCCACTGCAAGAAATTCCCTCAGCCACTTTATCATCCACGTCGAGGCTCAAAGTTAACCTCTGTGAAGCTCTGCTGACCAACTCCTTTGGGTCCTGCTAACCTACTCTCTGTTTCATGACATGACATGGAATCTAAGCGGTTGTTGGTATGTCTGTCTCCCCATGGACTGTAAGCTGTCAGAGAACAGAGACTGTCTCATTCCTGGCACCCGCCAGACAGCAGGAACTCAATAAAAATGGGCTGAACCCATCTGTTGGCTCGACTGGTCAGTTTTCCTGAGCAAGAAGAAACTGTCATTTGACTTACCCCACAGCCCCACTGCCTCTCAGGCACTAACCTTGTTCTTACGTCCATCAATCTCAAAGAAGGAGATGGTGCCTTTGCGGTAAATCTCATTGCCTGGAGGATGTCGTAGGTCACACTTGGTCTGGGGAAAACAGGAGGATCAGGGACGACGGCAAGGTGGAGGATGCTGGGAAGGCAGCCTCCCTGGACCCCTCATACCAAGTGACGCTGAAGACACTTGAGGCTACGGCCATACTTGAGGCAGAACTCGCACAGGTAGAGGACGGGTAATGTGGTGAGCTCCTGTGGGTACGGGGAAAAGTACCACGGCTTGAGGCGGTGCCGGCCCAGCTCGATACACTCAATGTTCTTCATCCGGGTGACGATGTCGTCGTGGCTCCGGTCAGACACCAGGCTGCCAGTCATGCGTGGTGCCGATGGTATTCCATCTGAGCTGTCCTGAGAGTCCTGCCCGGGATGAGTGGAAGACACCAGGTTAGAAGAAACAGCTCAGCAGGACACCACAGCTCACAACCCTTCAACAGGTTTCCCTCAAGCCTAACAGCAACTCTATAGGGGAGGTACCATGATCCCCAATTTCCAGACATAAAACCTGAAACCCTAAGGGACTGATGATGTGGAAAAGATCACCCAATGACCATTTTGGAAACGGAGTCTCACTCTGTCGCCCAGGATGGGGTGCAGTGGTGCAATCTTGGCTCGCTGCAACCTTCACCTCTGGGGTTCAAGCGATTCTCCTGCCTCAGCCTCCGGGGTAGCTGGGATTACAGGTGCCTGCCACTATGTCTGTCTCTTTTTTTTTTTTTTTTTTTTTTTGTGAGACAAAGTCTCACTTTTTTCCCAGGCTGGAGTGCCAGTGGTGTGATCTCAGGTCACTGCAACCTCCACCTCCTGGGTTCAAGCATTTCTTCTGCCTCAGCCTCCCAAGTAGCTGGGATTACAGGCGTGTGCCACCAGGCCCAGCTAATTTTTTATTTTTAGTAGAGATGGGGTTTCACCATGTTTCACCACCATGTTAGCCAGGATGGTCTCAATCTCTTGACCTCATGATCCACCCACCTTAGCCTCTCAAAGAGTTGGGATTACAGGTATGAGCCACTGAGCCCAACCAATTTTTTTACTTTTAGTAGAGATGAGGTTTTGCCATGTTGGCCAGGCTGGTCTCAAACTCCTGACCTCAGGGGATCCACCCGCCTTGGCCTCCCAAAGTGCTGGGATTACAGGTGTGCACCATGGCGCCCGGCCCCAATGATTCATTTGAACCATGTTCTGCCTGGCTCCTGATCCTACCAACACTAGCCCTGCCCATGCCCACCACCCCTTCATTTTTAAACTCATCACTAAATAACTCTCCACCCTTCCTGCATCCCTTCCTTTTCACACAGCTCCCTTCTGCTGCTCCCCAGACCCACCTCATCAGTGCCCAGACAATTTGATTTTCGCTTCCGTCCTGGCTGGGCTGCCACTGCCCTACGTGCTGCTCCATTCTGCAGATGAGATAGCAGGAAAAGAAGGGATGACTGTGAGATAAGCCTGAAAAGGGCCACCAGAAGGTAGAAGAGAGGAAAGGAACAAGAAATAGTTTGGAGAACTCACCTGGGGAAAAACCGAAGCTGGGGCTGTCTCGCTGGGCACTGGAGTTGCTGGTGAAACCACCTCCACCTTCCGTTTCTGCAGAGAGAAACCAACAAAGGTGGGTCAGAAGGTAGAGAAGGCGGGACCTGAGAAGAAAGCAAGGTCCCTGGAATTGCTGAGGGTACCGTTGAGCGGTGGTTGGGCTGCAGGCAGGAGCTGGAGGAGAGCGGCTGGTCAGGCTCGCCACCGGGAATGGCCTCCCGCTCCTTGGGCAGGTTGAAGCGGAGTGTGATCTGGACCGGGATTGGCAAGGTCTTCCCGCTGGCCTGGGCCGAGGCCGGCTGTAGAGATAGGTCCAGGGTCTTCCTCTGGGGCGGGGATGGCAGTGGGATGGGGAAGGGGAAAAGGGGCCCCTCAGCTCAAAATTATGAAACCCCA